CGCCCTGGTAGCTTGTGTCTGTGCTACTATGTAGGTACTTAGGTAGGTAGGTATGTGGAATAAGTAGAGAAAAACGCGACTTGGGTAATAGGTACCGGGTATGTCTGGGAAGGGGGAGATTCTAAATTTCGAAAATCGGGAAAAAAAAAATTGAGAAAAAAAATCTAGAAGATATGTCCCATGTATACTGTACAGCATACAACCTGCGTGTAGAATCTGTTTGTGGCGGGTTTAATGGTTTAATGCCCAAGTTGGGCCTTGGGTATCAATACTGCAGTAAGGTATTCTCAAAGTCTGAATAAGCGAGACCTGTGGCTGGTATTTTATTGTAACACTACTATCTAGATAGGATACCTGAGCCAAGTAGACACACAAAAAATAAAAAGAAGGGAAAAAAAGAAAGAAATCCCTTGTTGTAGTTTATGATTCCTTTGTGGCTCTACAATTGAGGGCTGTAGGACTGCATAACTAGGTAGGTATGTATCTTTTTTGTAATAGGAGCAATCGACCCATGAGATAGAGGGGAAAGGGTGGGATATCGGATATAGATACTTAGCTTTCGACAACACATATCGCACCGTCATGTCTAGCTAGTGTCTTCGTCTCCATTCAGGCAGCGGGGTGGTCATATTATTCGCTCGTGGGATCTAGGCAGGTTGCAGTCAGATACTTGCTTGGTTGCAGACACAAGACGGGAACCCAACAAAATCCATTCCCTTCCGCATCTACCGTAGTAGACTAGTTCTAGAGGCAGGACTAGAGGTAAAGAGGAGAGGGTCTGCTAAGAGCTCCAGTTGCTCTCTAGTCCCACCACCGTCTTGCCCTGTCATTCGGGGGCTAAGGTAATAAGGGAGCCCGCATTAGCCATCACTCGTCCACGCTCTCAACCGGGGTCGACTTAGAGCCGGACGATACAGAGGAGTCATTGTGTGCTTTCACGGATGCGAATGAGATCACGCGCGACTCCTCTGCAGCGATACCCCATTGAGTGAGTACGCACTGCCATTTACTGCTGTCCGCACTGCACCGCCTATAGATGGGGAGGACGTGGCAGAGCGGTCTACGCACCCTTGCCTACCACTGAACACTTGTTCAAACATAGAGCACCCAGCCCCCAGGGGAGTGAGTAGTATAGGGACGGTGTAGGAACTCCCAGATCAACGGGACCATACCAGCGATGGGCGAATGATAATCTAATACGAAGATTGCTATGAGCTTGATTGGGGGCATTCAGGGGTCCACAGGCCTCTTCGTTGATGTTGATGATGACGATAATCGGAATACTTCTAATTAGCACCTGAGAGCTACGACATAGTGGTGTATACCTAACAAGATAATTGGTACTTGCTTACTTCTATTTCTATACATTATCCATTGTGAGCTTACCAAAGGCTCCTACACGTGTGTTCTGTACAAGTACAATGAGATTTGGAGAGGGGGCGGTTTCTATCCACATGTTGCAATTCTTGGTTAAGCTACTGCAAAGCTTGACACTATTGTCGTCCTTCTCAAAGCCCCCAAAGAGACCCCCCAAGTTGCAGTTTGCAGGCCAAAGATTTCACAACTTACCTAGTTCATGCAGGTCGGTTGGTTGAGCTGGTCCGCCAGAAGAGCGTGTCTGTGGCTGCCTCGACCATATATGCATTAGTTCTGCATGCAATCCTACATTCGTAATCTAGGCGTGGGAAAAAATAGCACCATCCCCACCTACATCGATGGATAAACGAATTACACAAGTAGTGAAGATTCCTTCTTCATCTACTAGATATATCAGTACGCATAAGTTCGTGTAAGTGAAAACGTACAATCATTATGCAAGTTGAGTATATACCAACCCGAATCCTTTGACTTACTAGTACACACGCCATACGAGGTCGTCGCCGGAAGTAGATTGGTTCTACCTATCGATCCTCTGAAGACACCTTCTCATCATAAGAATACTCCATTTAAGCAAAGTTTTGATTAGTCCTGGACAACAAAGCGCTGGTCCAATCGCAAGCTTTGGCGAAGGAAAGCCTGTTGCTGTTGTTGTCGTTGTTGTTGTAAGGATGTCTAACGTAGGGATGGATACAAGCCTAGTCATCAACGGTTGAAAACTCCAAAAGCCATCGTCATCTATACACCCCCACTGACGGCGGAACAAAAGATGGGTTGTGATATCTCACAGAGAACAGACCTTATGGAGATACGACATCTCTCTTTATGAGTTAGCATAAGCCAAGCGATATAAGAACTTTCTAAGCTGACGCTAGAAGTACAGGTCTCTCCTAGCATAGATTGATATGAATAGGTAAATCGGTAAATCGTGACGCCGCCAGCCTCTATTGTGGGGACCCTTGGCATTATCGACAATGGGTAAGGACAAAGAGCCTCACCGCTCTTTCGATAAGGTGTAAGGGGTAACCTTGCTGGAGCATTGCGTCCCAACCCTCAGGATATCGATAGTGAGCTATGCCACGATCGATATTATGCTAAGTGCCTTTTGGCGTAGCCAATCCCTAGTAACTACGGCAGCACCGGAGTGACGTGGTTGTTCTCTCTTCGCTCGGAAGAAGACGGGGCCTCCCTAGCTTCACTGGCAAGCTCGTCCTTGGTCCTAGCAGATGACCTTGGGCGTTAAACCTGCTTCGGGAGGGTAGGGCGGCCGCTTCTACTTTCGTCCTGGAACCGGACTGCCCTACGAAACCGAATATCATTCCCGATCGTTCACCTATCGTTGGACCAGAAACGAGTCGCTAACCAAGCACTCACCGATCGAGCCGGTTCCATCCTGCTTTTGGCATCTTTTTCCACCAAGTAAGGAGAAATTGGATGGTAGGTGGCGCGAACTACCTTTATTACTAACCTACCCGGTTCTTGTATCGCGGTCCTAATTGGACAAATGGTATCGTGGGCGAGAATGTATTGCGTTATTATGCTGCTCCTTTCTACAAATGAGAATTTTCCATGCGGCAACGATCAGGGATCCGGCATACAATATGGTGCATAGCAAACTATAGCTCTATGAATTCAAGGACAGCCCGGTTGATATACATCTAACGTACGCTCCGTTCCGGCCTTTCTCCCGCCAATACTTCAGTTACAATAACGTTACATACGGGCCGAATCATACGGGACTATAGCCTAATAGACCCAGAATACCGTTGCCAGTTTCGACCTTGGCCGTCCCTTACTTAGCCCCGGGTTTTCCGGGAAACCGGGCAAGAATCGGACTTCCGCTTGAGTAGCTCGGAAGATAGGCGAATACGTTGCGATAGGCGTTCTTCTACTTCGTCTTTTTCGAGACTGGTGAAGTCGAGCCGAAGCCCGTCCCCGTCAGTCACATTTTAGCCTCAGAGCGGGGAGAGCCAGCAAACACATCAAATCACCAAGACTCCGATGGCAGGTGTTGGATATCAGCATCGTTTTGAGCCTAAGGGAACTTACTGGACAGGCCACGTACCTATGGCTAGAACTCCAAAACACAGTTGCGCACGAGGTCAAGGTGTGATTAGCACCAAATCCTGACCCATCAGAGAAGTACCGGGCACTGGCCCAGCGCTATTATCAATCGTCGCCCAACGATGGCTAACAAGATCGAGGTGGGCTATGTTGTCACGATCATCTGGTCAGGGCTTGAAACCGATTCATAACGATCTTCTCGAGATATCCTAATACTCTCTAAGGTAGTCTAGGATATGCACTGAAACAAGTGCTTGCGTCTCTTGGCGACTTGCGCATCGTGAAGCCTGGGAGCGGCTGATAAGCTGTCGATCAATGGCCCCAGATGCCCAGACACTGTTCAGGCCAGGACCAGGTCCCAGCCGAGTGGGCCACAACACCCCGAATTTAGGCCATGTGCAAAGTGCAACCATAGCGTGTGGCTAAGGATGGTCGCAGGTACCGAACTCTATTCGAATCTGGCTTGTCGACGTCATAGTAGATTCAAATCATGCAAAGCAACCTGTTTTACAAACATTTAATTCCCAGACATTCCCATGATAGGAAGTGTCAACACAGAAGTCAGGAGTTTCACCAAAATATATTGCCCCAGAAATAATATTGTAGGATGACCGCGCCGGGACACTTGATCGAAGTAGGATCGACGATTGCGACGAGAGAACCCGGCGTTAGGAGAGATGTCTCACTTTACTAGGTAGTTATGCATATATCTATGTAGCTCTATACCTACCCGATACTTGTGTGTATATGACTTGTTTCGGCTGAACAAAATGCTGATTGGACATAGACACCCTCGTGCAGCCTCACGTGGTTGTAACCTTCACGTGACACTTCTTCATCGGGTTTGCTCGGTGAGGATGGCCCAGTCAGTGAGCAGTGAGTGGATAAGTAAATACTGTAGAGTGAGGACTAATCGCTGGCCGCCCTAGCCGACCAGGGCTGGCCGAGTGTAGCCTGTAGATAGGCTGTTGGTATCTATCTATGCATACTATCAAGGGCGATCGCCCAGGATCGGACCATTCTGCCCGCCCAACCAACCTCTGTCATGTTTGAAAAATTCCGAACTGACACGGGTCGAGCCGAACTGCAAAATCGACTGCGGATGATGATCCGCGACCAGGGTTCAACCTTAAAAAAAAGTGCAAGTCGCTAGATATATATCTAGGACCATTTGACCAAGTTTCAAGTCAACATGACAAGTCCCGATGCACACACATTATAAAACCGACCTTCGTAATGACGAGAGATCGACACAGTGATTTCTCCTTCGAGGAACATCTTTTCACAAAACATAGTCCACAAGAAAAACATGCGTTTCAAAGCTATATACAGAGATCTGAGGGACGGCCCGATGCATTCATTCATTCCGGACCTCTTGTTGGGTAAGGTTAAATCCACCTGCCCATCTAGTCTCTCATGACTTACTTGTGCATGTGTTAGAGGAATACCGATAACCAAACAAACAAAAGAGAGAGAGAGAGAGAGAGAGAGAGAAGGGGGGCTTGGAAAGTTGACGCGGCCGCCATGGCGAGTCCAGATCCAAAAATTGAAAGCATCAACTCCGAATCGGGGAATCGAACCCCGGGCTTGACGGCACAATCATCCATCCATCTCTCACTGAAGAGAGGGTAGGAACAGGATGTTTTGAGAGCGTCAAATGTTGGCCACTACACCAATTCGGAGAAAATCAACAGGTACAGGTGAGATTGAACCACCGGCTCTGGACTCGCGGGGAATCGAACCCCGGACCACTCCCATTTTCTCGTGGGCTTTTTTCTTGGAAAGAAGAGGCCCATAAGATAGATGCTAAGGGAGTATTATACCACTAAACCACAAGCCCTAAGAGGGAAGTGATGAGCTTCCTGTGTGTGGGTTCATGGCTCGCTAATGCGAGTTTTGGCGTCTGCCTTGGTGGGTTGTATTTGGGTGGTGCCGCTAGCAAAATAACGCCTTGAATGGAGCGAGTCAGCCAGCTTGAATCAAGGTGGTGTGTGCGCGAATGGACGGACGATTTACTATAGGTAGTATCGACTCTTGAAAAAGAGTTCAACTTTCTGCGAAGGAAAAGCAATCTGTGCGCATACACAAATGGGAGAATCTGAAGTCAGCAGCATAAAAAAAACACCAAACATCGCCGACATGAAGACACCAACAACGACAACACCAATTCAACAAACGGGGCGGGTCGAATCAAACTTCCGGATCCTCCCGGTGAGGGGAATTATAGCCGTCCTCCATGACTCTTAACAGTCAAGCCTCAAATTCACCACACCTTCTTCTTGGGTTACAACCGGGCCATGGGTATTGATAAGCTCCGTCATCTGACGCATGTTGAAGCGTTCAAATCAAGTGCTCCTCCTAGGCAAACAAGATCTCTCCACAGTTACCTACATGATGCAGCGGTAGTTTCCCCAGTCACACCGAAGGTGGCGAGAGTATGGTGTGGTCGATAATAGTAGGTGGTATTCTTTTATTCTGGTATTTGCATACATACCTTATAGTGCGAGTTGAGTGAGGGCGGCATAATTGACGCACAACCACTTCTCTCGGTCGGGGTTGTGTGTCATGCTTTCTTATTCTACATAATTAATACCCCGACGAGAATTGATTATGTCAGCGCCGTATATCGTGAACTTGTCCAGTTTTCTTGTTTAAATGATGAGACTACACTAGGAGGTCATCCAACTAGCTCCGTGTCTCCATGGCTATTATAGTAGTAAGGTCGATAGTATAGTTCGTCGGCGTCTCACAACTACCTACCTACCTACCCTTGCAGTGCCCCTGTACGTTCACTTACTATGTACACACTTACATGGATAATACAGGATCTAGTGTACCCCATACAGGCGCCATACAGCATGTGTATGGGCAGAAAAGTACAGTATGGGCTTACACTACGTAGTACACGATAGCTAGCGGCAGCGATAGATCATGTATGTTAGGTTAGGTACTTGCATGCTCCATCCATCATAGCCGCAGCAGCCGGGCTTTGGTTGGAACTTCGTCCAGTTATGCCGCATCACGCCACTGCGTTGCGCAAATGGTTGAGCTTCATCGAGCACCCAACTCATGCAAGGTACAACGCGGACGCGCTGCAGTGATGCGCAATCCCGATCCCTGGCCGTGCATTTCGATCGACTCCCCAAGACAGCAGCGAATGATACGGAAGCTCACGAGCCTCACCAGCGTCGCATACAGATGCACATTACGTCGGATTCGCAGGATATACTTCTGGAAGAGGGTGTGCGACCATGTCAGATGCCTACCTGACGAAACTGACAATAACGACCAAAGAGTGACAAAGAGTGACAGGAGTGACAAGAGTGGGGGGAGGGATAGTCGCTTTGTCTTACCACTTGCGCACTGCTCATGTACTACTTGCGTACTACTCGCGAGGAAGACAGCTCGGTGGACTCGTATCCTCACCCGGTCCTCGCAATTCAGGCTGGGTCGCACACCACCTCGATATGCGTGCTTCCGCTTTGGGAATATATCTCCCTCCTCCCACTCCCCTCTACCCAGTCCAAGATATGAGTCTTCGTGCCCTGCGCCCTGTGATTGATTCACGGCAATACGCAATAGACCGGCGCCCCTCATAGCGGCGTCTGTGGGGTTTTGCTAAGATACCTTATCCGTCTTGACAGCTGAGTGACCGGGATGACCACCACCCATCATCTTTCGCCTATTCACCCACAAGGCAGCTTCGTTAATCCAACAGGTGACTGACTAACCGAGCACCAGCCACTTCTCTTACACATTCCTTCTGCCTGTGGTGATGGAAATATTATATATATCTGGCCTCGCCGCCGTATCCACTGGTTTTGTGATATTTTCGATTTACCACCTTTTTGACTTGATGCTACGGCTTCTTCCCTTCTATCACTTTCACTACACTTCTTCCTTTTAAGCCAGCTGGAGCCTGGCACTTACCGAAGGTCTAAATGTGTAGGGAAGAGTGAACTGCTTTCTAATCCGTGAACTATACAATTATCCTACCTGGAAATGACAACGTAGGAGCCTGTCTACCTTCTACCATCCAGGATCCTTACTCTACCAAACGTTGATATAAAAAACCAAACCAATATGCCTCTTTTACCATCCGATGCACTTAAGGCAGTGCATCGGCAGTCATGGCCACCTAGCGGGTTATGGCCTTCAAGTCCCAGCCGAATTCCGCCGGCACTAGATGAGGACAAGGACGGCCTTTCTACAGATGACGAAGACATCGACAGCTCGTCAAGGCCCGAGAACCCACTCAAATACTTTTTAACGCCCGCGACCCCTGGAGACGAGGAGCTGGAGTTTGAGTTCGACTTCGATGCCGGCATCGAGGACTCGAACAGTCCCCGTCAGATTGTCCGAAGTGTGAGCCCTTCGACGCTCGATGGTCTTAGACGGTACAAGGCCAGAAGCAAGGAAACAGACTGTGCTATTCTCGACGAGGACGACAGCGACGATGATGAGGACTACATACGATTCACATCTCAGAAGTCGCTCCCGTTCGGCCTCGACGACTACTTCGACCATCCCCGCCACAGCTCGTCAAACCATCGCAACTCTGACGCACTACTCTCACCATCCCCCTCATTTCACGTAGGGTCGCCTAGAGGCCGCCTAGCTAAGCGCTTCGCGCCTCCGCCTCGACGTGCCAGGCCCACCGCCCGCACGCTTCAGCGCCGTCACTCCTGGCGCGAACCCAGTCCGGATGTCTGGTCCATCGACGAAGAACCAGAGAAGGAGACCATGAGCGAGATGGGGCTCAGCGTCGAAGACCTCGACGACGGCTCAGAGAAAAAGACTCAACCTATAGATATACCGGCTGCGAAGCCCAGGAAGAAGGTCCGGTTCTTGTTACCGGTTACGGAGTTTTGATTCATATCTATACATCTATCCATCTATCTATCTATCCTTTTAATCTATCCATCCATCTCTTTATTGCATGTTTCCTAATCGGCCGGGGAAGGGGAGGGGCAATCTACTGCATGGTACGGAGTTGCGGGTTCTGGATTTGTTTTCGGTGGTTGGCTCTCCTTTCTGCATTATGGCCACTATATTACCCGGTCATATCTATGGTTATCTCCATCATCATCATCATTTCCTACAAGGTATCGAGGTCCTCGGCATATACGGCGTCTGAGGAGGGTGGATTCTCATTTCCAGAGGGGAGGGAGAGTTTCGGGCATTTAGTTTAGTAATACCTATTCGAAGCTTTGATTATACAAAGACTAAAAGATTCCTATTTCCTCCTGAACTGGACACCTGCTCCGCGCCCTCATTTCTGACCCGTGACCGTGATTTCTATGTTCTACCGTTTTGCCGTTTTTGATGCTCCCCCCACGCTTTGTGTCTTAAAAAATAAATATATAGTCTTAACTAGTCTATATGATCCATGTCGGCGATCTCCGAAAAACATGTAAGCCCTCTCTCTTCCCAAGTATATAGTATTCCCTAAACCCGTCAGCGTTAGAAGGGTCAATGAAAAGAAGAAGAAGCAGGGAAATAAAAAAAAGTGAAACTTTTCCTGTTTAGCGATCAACGCGAAGGATGTAAGCGATAGTACACTATAGTGTATGCTTCGTAAGCCTAGCACCGAAACACCCTTCCGATCCGCCCCGACGTTCTGTGTCCTTCGAGCCACGCACGAGCTTTTTTTTTTTTTTTTTCTTCGTGTTCCTGCCTTGATGTTAGCTTAACTCACCGCCTAGCGGCGTCTTACGCAAGCCTCCCATTCACACGCCGTGCACAGCCGCAGTTCATGTGCCCTGGATCTTCGGGACTAGGGAAATTTGAATTAATGTGTAGTTTGTTAGTATGTGGAAGTTTCCGTTTTGGCTCTTTGTAGATTTATAGTGTATACGGTGTGTAAGCGCGTAATGTACGAAAAAAAAAGTGCGGCAAAGCTTGCGCATTATTATATTCCCACTCAGCGAAATCTTGGCTTTTGCCATTCTAGGTATACCGCCTGAGGTGAGCGCTGTTGTGTCGGATGCCTCTCATTCGTTAGCCCTATGCTGCACCCCATATTCACCTTTGCATATGCAACGTACGATAAGTCTAACGGCACCGGCATTAATCCTCATGCAATAAGTATCAGTGGAGAGACATGTATGTCATCTCAGAACAAGGCATTACTTTGCGAACTACAGTAGTAGTCGCCTCAATTTTAAAAAACTTCTTTTCTGTTGTAAGAAAATACTGTTCTGGTAAGCTCGCTAGATAAAAAGTAATAGTGCCGTTAACCGACTGGTGCTGAGAAGATATCGTGGTCGTCTCACGATACAACATACGGCATGAGCCGATCCCGTCTCTCCTTTCTCTCTTATTCCATTGGTAGCGATGCTTATATTGGCCAATATTGTCATACAGACATCGGTTGTAATAAGGAGTACAAGGCTCTGTACTACGATTCTAGTAGATCTACTTAGGTAGGTATAGTGCAAATTCCGTTATTTCTTCTAGAAACCACGTGCTAGCAACGTGAATCACTCCTCGCCACAACACCAAAGAAGAAGAAGAAAAGCTAAGGCTAGTGCTAACGTCATGGGTAGTGGATATTTATCTATTCCAGGAAACCCGTCTGCTTTCCAAGCAATCCCACTCGATGCCGAGGTGTCTTAGCCACAGAATTCTAGAGAGACCAACGATACATATACGGATAGACAAATTGCCGGCCGCTGAACCAGCCACCACCACACCGCAAAATTGTGTAGGGCTAGGTTAGGTATTACTCACGTACATAAATATATAGGTACTAGGTAACTGACGTGAGACGTTGAATGAGCCTTTAGTTATCTCGGTTATCGGACATGTGACGTCAAATCAAAGCTCGTTTTCCTGAGG